CGCAGCAACCACTTACCATCAGGTGGACTGTGTGTTCGATTGTCACCCTATCCTATAAAAAAAATCAATAGACTACCTGCATGTCTTACCGATCGGGAGAGCTGTTCTAAACTGCGTTTACCGATACGAGGGTGATATCAGCAACTATTTTTCTAAAGTTAATTCATTAAGTTTTACAGGGTTAGTTTATCAAATAGTAAGATGTGTTTTTTTGCCGATTTTTAACCACGGTGACAACATCTTAATAATTGAAACAGGAGATAATGTAGTGTGACTGTTTAAGCGCACAGAGGCTGTCATTTGCCTTACACTACCCGTGCGCAAAGTAACGTTTATACGTTTAGACTAAGATGTAATATTCCCGAGGGTCGTCATTCCCTTCGCGGGTATTTGACCGCAAGGGTATCCGGCGATGCGATTAATGACGATTTTCGTTTAACAATATCTTCAAATTTGTAAAAGAATTACAGAACATAAATTATTTGTTTCTAACTTTGTCTATTAACAAACCTTTCCATATGAACAGACTATGTAACCAGCAACACAGTAGTTTAATTAAAAATAATCCGATGCCCGCGGCGGGAGCGCGACAATAGCACTTTGCTGCCTGCCAGCAAAGGGTAAATTTGACGCATCATGCGAATCGAACCTGATCTAAAAAAACAAATGTTATTTTGCCCAAATGTTTGATTTAGTTGTCAGAACCCGCGACAGCTATCAGAAAATACTCTTGTCTGTTACATATAGTACGAGTAATATAAGTAAAAATATACATACTCGTATATCGAAATTTTAAAAAAAAAAGCGCTTTTGGTAGAAGTGGAGATGGAGATGGTGGTAGAACGAGCGAGGCTTTTGAAGCAACATTTTTTTTAAAACATTACCCCTAAGATTTACTTCTGTATCGAGGGTGAAGTTTACATATATAAATTGCGCTGGGACAAATATATATATCCGGAACTATTATTTGTAAGTCATATAAATAGGTACTTTTTCGGTGCGGGATTTGAACCAGCGGCCTTTAGCGTCGTAATTCAATGCTCAGCAACTGCGTCATTTCACAACGTAGACGTCGAACATTATATGGACACTGACGCTAAGCAATTTTTTTCCGAGGTGCGTCCAAGGGGATACAGACTTTACGTCTGGTAACACCTGTTGGAGGACTGTTGGATAATGTTAGATATTTTTCTGTAGTGGAATTGGAGACACCGAGTATTTAAGAGTATACTAGATTTTAAAGAAGCGGCTGTGGCCTTGCCTAGCTGCCCCCATGCTTGTGGCAAAATATATAAGAGGCAGAAAAAGTGCCTCACCACATAGTAAAATTTAACGCGACGTCACGTCCGGACTCAATGGACGCGCTATGTGGGCCACACGTGTCACTGTTCCGTCCCGCCCGCCCCGACGGAACCCACACTGCTTTAATTGCTGACAACTATGGGAAATAGCGCAAATGTGTTACTTTTTATCGCGAAGCGTGTTTACACTTGTGATAATGACAAATGTGCCTCTTTGTGTTAGGAACTTGTGTTTTATAATATCATTGGGTGCGTTTGGCAGAAAAAAGCGCTAGCAAGCGCTGTAATAGTTTTCGGCCAGGACACGATTGCTACTTCAGTAGCGCTGACACAATCCACCATTTTGCTTATTTAATTTGTTTGTTTTGAAGTAGAGTTTTTAAGTTGTTATGTGCAATATTAGTTTTAAGTAATATAATAACGTGAATAAACATATACATGTTTTTAAAAATTCATGATTGGTAAGTTTTTAATATGAATAATTTACAAACATATATTTAAATTAGGTTAGGTTCCCCGGTTAAAACTAACATCGTGTCCTGGAGCAAAATAGCTACTTACGATTTGACAACGCTTACCGCTTACGATCGCTATTTTGCTTACAAGCGCTTGCTAGCGCTTTTTTCTGCCAAACGCACCCATTGTAAACCAAAAACTGTTAGCGAAGTCCATTATTAGTTTGTGAGAGAGCTACGATTCGTTCGTATTAGTAGTAAACTAATGTAGTTGGAAGGTTTTAAATCTAATATTTAGATAAAGTAATAACATTAAATTGAATCGCTGCGATAGAAGTGGATCGCGTGAATGACAAACATTAGATCATCGATGTTAGATTGAATTGGTCGGCTACGAGGGATCGAGTGTATGTGAGGGAAAGCACACGGGGCCGCGCAGCTTAGAGATCAAGAATAATGGGTTTAAAAAAGGAATTTAGCACATGAGGTGACGAAATGGGCTTCTAGCCGCCTCGCGACGTGACAAGTATGTAGGGCGGGTGACGCGCCGACTATTGATAGTGTGCGCGCGGCGCGCCTGCGAACCAATGTTATCCAAACGATTTCACCGGCACATCTAAACGCGGACTCCTTACGTGTAATATAATTTGTTTATTATTATAGCAACTTAACTAATATTGTGATTTGTACAAACTGTTGATTTTAGAACAAACTTTTAGTATTTTAAAACTAATAAAGGGCAAATATTATAACAGTGCAACTGCTTTCGCATTATGGTATAATATTAATTAATTAAAGAAGGATTATTTAGGATTAACAATTTTAAATTAATATAAATTTCTGTTAATAAAAAAAAACAAATTAATATATTTTCGTAAGGTACATTAATATTGTTTAGTAACTGAAAATAACTATTGTATACTTTCCGGTATTTAATTGTTATTACATACATATGCAAGTGAAACCGTCCTAACAGCCCTACAAGCCCTACAAGAGCAGAGATGCATTCGTTAGATGTGTCATTATCAGTGGAGCTCGGTCGCCGTTATAAGTAGGTAGCGGCGAGGTGCGGGCGCGGGTGCGGGCGGGTGTAGAGATAGAGCGAGCATTCCGCGCCTCTAACGGTGAGTTATTTCGCCGAGGCGTGAATGGCCGGGGATGCAGCGCAGGCTGCAGCGGCCCCCCCCCTCCCCGCCGCCGCATTCCGCCGCTCGCCGCTTGCGCAACCTCCGCCGCCGCATTCCATTCATAGCGGCGCGCGACTCAATAAACCTTCTGTGCCCGCCGCTCGCCCGTAGCTCGTCCGCGGCTCGCACGCCACTCGCTCCTCTCTCGGCCACCATCCTTTGATTCCCGGAATGGCCAAACGAACGCGCTTTTTCAAATTTTAGAGCGTTACGCTTACGCCACATTTCTTTGTAAAGTTCACGTCGGTCGGTGTGAATTCCGACGGACGTTGACCCGCCCCGCTGTGGCTTTCTCCGGCTGCCTGTTTGCTATTGGAACGAATCTATTAATTGGAGAAACTTAGTTCACACATGAGCGTGGAAAGTAGACTGACTGAGCGATCCGAGACCACGGTGTCGCAGGCGATGTGTGCGGTTTGTTAAAATTTGTGCCTAGGTGTTTGTTCACGACAAATTTCTTACCTATACAAATGTTATCTTTATGATTATGAGTAACAACTGAAACTGCAGTTCAATGTTGTGCTCGTTATTGATAGCAAACGGTAATGTTATACGATCCCAACGTAAACATCTGCGTTGTTTGTGGTGAATAGTGTGTGAATAGTATGCGAGCTCCACAAGGGTCATTCTCGATATAAGAGACAATGAATCCCATTCTTATTAGCTTATGACCGAAGAATGATCGGACAATTAGATCGAAATGGTTGCGAACCGCGGGGCCGGCTTCAGGTACACGTAATTTGTACATCCGCGGACTCACACCGTGGAGACTCCGGCCGAGAGCGTAGCGCGCGGTCGAATGCCGGAGGCTGCATTCTGCCCCTCTCCGCCGCGGGTGAAATGTCACCAAACAGCATTCCAAAATATTTGAAACGACCTTTATGGCGCGAAAGAAAGTGTCCGGGGTGCGGGGCGCGGGGCCGCGCGACCGTGGGACAGAGGCGCGCGCGCCAGTCGCACGGCGCCCCCCGCCCGCACGTCGTCTCCCGCATTCCTGCGCGCCTCCCTCCGAATTTATTCAGCCGCGACCCGAGTCTGCGCCGCACCGCCGCCGACCCGCGACCGACCGGTGCCCTTCGCCACCCATGTTCCTACATCCTATAACACTAGCAGTTCTAAGTGTCCGAGCGTCTCGATCCCAAAAATATGGCGAATTAGCACAACGTAGGCGATTAAATGTATGTAAGAAAGATACATTATTTTTATTTATTTTGAATGATAGAACATCATAGTTATTGTTTGTTAAAAGTGATAGACAAAAAGACTTCAACGTTTTATTAACAAATTGTAAGCTCTTCTATTGGTGTAGAATACGATCGTAAGAAATGAGACGTTAGTATGACTGCTGTGAAGTAATTTCTGGAGCGCTTCCTGTGTCTAAAAGTCGTGCGGAGCGAGGTGTGCGGCGGGCAGCGGGCGCGGCGGCGGAGGCGGCGGCGTGTCGCAAATAGCCCGTGACGCGGCGGGCGCTGCACTTTCGCGCGGTCATGTGCCCGGCGCCGCAGCCAGACGCTCGTAATCGGCCCTCTATTTAAAAACGTCGTCGGCGACGCCGGCGGCGGCGGGGAATGTGCCAGCGACAATGCACGCGCGTCAACGACCGCTCGCGGCGGAAGCGACACACTTCCAGCCCGGAAACTTGCGCCCGCGCCTTAAGGGATCGCCGCCTGACTATTTATAATCACCGCAGTCCGATAGGATGCAGCCGTGAACGGGACTGATGCAATAAGCTTATTTTGACGTCGCACCCTACACGTCACATGTGTGAAAGGAAAGGCAAATGCCCTTATGAAAATAGCAAGTTATTTTGCTACTGACAAACATAGAGTTTATTACGTTTTGACAGTCGGAAGCGTTATGAATAATGTTAGACTTAAAGTGTAGGGATCATAAATATGTAAAAAAAATCTAAAACTACAATATTCGAATTCTTATTGAATCAACATTTTAGCAATAATATTTGTGAAAAAAATCGTAAGTATAATAATAGAAGAAAAATTTAAGACTTGATTTTAAAGGAAAAGTACTTAGAAAGTTGAAAAAATGGTGAATAGGAAATGATAATGAATCAATCGGATCACAGTCGGGCAGCAGTTCCCAGCCGCCGTTCCGCCGCCGCGCACCGCTCGTTAAACGGCCAGGTAAGAAAGCAAGGGCCCACCGGAGATAAGGTCAATAAATGCGCGCCTCCGTCGCACATAATTAATAAGCTGCCAGTGATACTACTATCTGGGGAGCAATTACCGAAATGCCTTGGCTGTGCACATGTGTAGAGAATTTCCGCTTCCAAAGGCGTTATTATAAACGCTTCGTTACTTGGTAACGTTCAAAACGGCGCGTACTTTATATAATGTGCCAACTTAAAAATGTACATAGTTATTTAGCGGTCATGCACGAAATTAAGTAGCGCGAAATGGTTTCAGAAACGAGTTGTGAGATATTTTTCTACGAGTTGATAAGAGATTCCTATGGTGATAGATATTCAATTTAATGACTTAATAATAACAATAATGTCCTCCAGACCGAATTTCAGCCACGGCGGCCTGCCTCAACGGAGGCTAGCCATCGGCGCAGGACAGGATTATAGTGCCCAAGTGTATGCGCAAGCACAGGTGCACTCTCTATTCCCTCACTCTCTTAATCCGATGGGACGGTAAACCGACACGACCGGAGAGAGATCAGGCGCAGGACCAACGGCTTTACGTGCTTTCCGAGGCACAGAGGTGAGACACCGCCAACTTCCTGACTCCGGACAACGACTGAGAATTTCTTGACGGAAAACCTCAATAATTAATTTTTTGGCCCGACCCGAGATTCGAACCCAGGACCTCATGATCAGCAGTCGCTACAACCACTAGACCAACGAGGAAGTATTAATTACTTATTACGTATCGAATTAATAACTTACAACTTATGAAAGTTTAAATAGCCAGCAATCTCTACGTACCACCGCCATAGCTCTACCACCCGCATGTTAATTGTTAATGCACTCTAATTAAGTCGGCCTTTTCAACTCATTCAGTGCTTAATAACGATCGTCTAACAATTATAATATTTATTGCCAGTTCTTATAATCTTAAACATAAATGAAAACTTTGGGCTTTTAGTTTAAGCCAAGTGCTACGTAGCAGCTACGATGCTACGAAGTGTCAGTAATATTAATTTTATAATTTGTGTTGCAGACACCGTTGTTTTTTAATAACATTTCAATCGATGTAAATTTAATTTCTGCTAAGAATCTATTATTGATTTTTGAAAATTGTTAATATAGTAATTGGTATAAGATAGTAGCATACCTTTAGTGTGCTATACTTTCTTATAGGCTCTTTTATTGAATGCATTCCCGAGGGACATAGGTCCTCCTCTGGCTTGATAGCGCTGTATCTTTTGGGGTATGTTCCAAAACGTTTTCAGTATACTGCTGAATATAAATGACGTAATAAATTGACACTATATTGTACTGGCGTGCCGCCGCCATATTGTGTCGGATATCCGGCCATAATAAAACAATTTTTAATTGTGTGTGCGCTGAAGGAAGCATGCCAGAATTTGTTTTTATTTATTCAAAAACAAAAAATTATAAAATAATTGCTGGTATCTCCATTAGTAGGATATAATGATTTTTGGAGCAAAAAATGACAAAATGATCGCCAACACTTTTCCAAATGGCGCCGCAAATGTATGACGTCATATACTGTCCTATGTTTTGGGAACGAATCACCAGTATAGCGTCGATTCATGACGTCATTTGCATTGGACAGTACATTGGGTTCTATTTTGGAACATACCCTTGATATATCAGATAAAGCAGTAACTCCATCGCCAAAAAACGGTAAGCTGAAGATGACATAAAAATTTACGGACGTTTATACCCAACGTGGACGTCAGAATTTTCCTAAAGAAAAATATTCATAAAGTTTGCATATAGAAAAATTTTGCTTTTCGATACCGAAGATGTGGAAGGTTTTTAGGTCTCTTCCGTACGAGATTTGTCGAAACGTGGTATTTAGTCCAGAGGCGGTGAAGAGGTAGGAACATATCGTTGGTAGAAGAGCAGTAGCAGCTAAATTCCGTAGTGTGGCGAAGCGTCGACGGTGGCGACGGTGGCGGCGGTGGCGCCAAGGCGCGGTGAGCTCTCGACATGTTTTATTCAACGCGGGCCGCGACCCGCGCCGCCCCCCGAATTCTGTTAGCCTCGCTCGCTCCGCACGCCGCAGACGTCTCTAATTACATACTAACATGACCGACTTTACCGTGTCACGATTATTTCGATTATCGGTAAAGTCAACAAGCCGCTACGTTACAATAGAAACGCCCGCCAGGCAAATGAGCGCTGTCGTGTCACTCGCTCGCAGCGTTATTGCTAACTTTCTGGTGACCCATCAGGTGATCGACTGGCGCACTAGATGGCGTAGTTACTGCAGTCGGTCGGTAAATGTTTTGGTAACTTGAGGGGAGCGGAATGAGGGGCAGTGGTTGATCGGGTGTCGGCTCGGATGTCACGGAATAGTCCATTGTGTTGCGCGCCGACGGCTCAGCGGGTAAAGAGGTCAAGGTTTCGTTGGCGCCTACCTGACGTTCAGATATTTCGAAGCTTGTATTCAAGCAGTATAGTGCAAGCTTTATACTCATGTTGAGGCTCCTGCCTACCTATACATGCATATGTACCTAAACAGCGTTAAAAGTTCTTGTGATTGGTGTTTATATTTTCTATATAGTATAAGGGTGGAAAACAAGCACATAGTCCACCTGTTAGTAAGTGAATGCTGTGGCCTATAGACATATACGTCTATCATCGATTAAGAATTAAAGTGCATTGTCACCCCGGAGGGCTAAGGTGGAATGCCTCGTTACCAGTAGAAAGGGTCTCCGCTCCTCTACACGCACCATAAGAAACACAGCAGCATTATTCTACTGTTTCACGCTGGTATTCTGTGAGAGCGTGGTCTCGCCCATGCTGCAGCATGGCTTTCCCACATAAAAATATGCGTGTACCCTGCATAAGTCGCATAACTGGACCTTGCTATCAAATGCGAGTACGGACTGCTCGCGTGAGTTTCGTTTTTTTAAATAGATTTAAAACACCTGGTAACATAAAATTGTAACAAACGATTTTATAAAAAAACTTACAACGATGTGATATTATTGCACCAGGCAACTACCAAACTTTACAAGGAAAACCTAATGGACTAAAGTCTCACTATCACCACGCATGCAGTTTAAGCATATAATATGCTAGTAGATGCAGCTCTAAATTCAAGGTTTGCTCCACCTGCTTAAGCAACTGTCCATTTGGTAAGAAATGGTTGAGATTTCTACCAAAATTATAACAGATCACTAATTTATTTAAATATCTTTACGAATTATTTATTAAAAAGTTAAATAGCCATAAAAACGTGTGAGTGTATGTAAATTGGAATAGTAACAGTTAAACAACAGTATTAGTGTTCGGATAACGGCGGCGAAACAAACAGACGAATTGCCAGTTAATAAATATCGTATGGTATGGTGCTCTATTCCTGAAATCTAGTGTGCAAGTTGACGTAACGCGCGCACCGAGCGAGATGTGAGGCTCGGTTTAGGTGTGAAGGTCAATGACCGATAAGATTTGCGTTGTACCGAACTCTCTATTTCCCCTCACCTCCACGCTATCGTCAAGCGACCTATCAACAAAAAGCGTTGGCAAATACGTACCCGGTGTGGGCCAACATTAGTAGGTACGTTTGGCAAGCGATTCAAAGTTTAATTTTGCGGAGTGGGCGAGCGATAGTGCGGTTGGATGTTAAAGCATGATGTTGCCACGGGTGTCGGGCTGGTGGCGAGGGGCCAGTAGTGGTGCTGACATTGCGCTAGTGTTTTGGTTGCGCGGGGTTGGCGGGTGTGGGAGGCCCCATTATCGGCGCGGACGTAAGGTGCACCTTATCGCGCTATTGTTCGCGCCGACAGATTTATAACTTCCCTTTGCCCTCAATAAGGGCCCGTGACCTGTGGGAGAACCTTCTAGTTTCTAAATAACACAAATCGTCCAAAGGAATGTAGGATATAACAATTTTATCCTTATTAGCTTATTACACAATAATTATTAAAAATACATACCAATATTTCCATTGACTCAGATTCTTGGATTTGTTGTAGATGGTATGATGATTCGGTATCAGTCGGATGTTGCGCCATGGCTGAAATGCGAAAAAGTAAATGTAAACAAAACAATACAATTACCACATTCACAGACCGGCACTAAATAATAAATGTTCGTTATTTATAACTTATAGAAAATTAACGTGAACTTTCCCAGCCGTGGTGCAACAATGTGTGGGAAAATCCAATTGGGAATTGATATTATGGTTATTTGTTACGTTATTTAACGACACATTGCATTGGCTATTGCTGTGAAAATATTGTAAGCAATAACTAAATTAAATAGGATCGTTTTTACTCTGGTTTACTGTTGTATTTAAATTTAAATATTTAAAACAATAGCATACCACAATTATTAACTCAGAAATCAATTTGAGAAAGATATAAAATGCATACAAAACAACATAATATTTAAATTGCCAGTTACAATGATAACGTGTCTGCCTGCCTTATTAGTAAGCGATTTTTTGTACGCATGAAACGTACGCAACATTCCTGTTTACCTAGCGAAGTAGACGAACGCTCCTCGAGCCTCGCGACGTCACAAGTACCTACCAGACGGCTCCTAGTGTAGTGACATGATGTAGCCGGCGTGCGGAATGCGGCTAACGGTCCTTTTGCGAGATCTCCATCTTACGTTCCCAGGCTCGTCGCGCCGATCGACGCCTCGAGATAAGCTCGGCTCCTATACGAAACCCAATAAGCCATTTCCTCGAAGCACTCACAAGAGTACCGCTCCCGTAACAAAAAAAAAAACCAAAACCGAACAAAAAATCCCCGTGAATAAGGCGGGAGCGCGAAATAAGAATGGATCCAGTTCTGGGAAGGCTCGGCGCCGGTGCAGTCTTTACATCCTTTATAATGATCGCTTTTTGTGGAGCGACCCTTAATGGCTTATCGTGGGACTGAGAAATGCCGGCGTAACACACAACGTGCGAAGCGGGCCGTTACCGTCGTCTCACCTACATTTATTGTTACAATCATCATCACATTCAGATGGTTTTACAACGCGGAGATTGTGCCTGAATGGAAGCGGCGTCATCCAACATAATTGCGATTAAGGATATTCTAGTACCCATTACTAAATTAGTAAAGGATAATTTGCACATCGCAGCAGACGTCCTACACGCGTGCT